CCTGCCACCATCGCTCAAAACTGGTTAGCAAATAATCATTATAGGATTTCTGACTAATCGGCAAACCTTTTAAGTATGACCTCTTCACTTATGATAACAAAAAATTCTTTAAAACCTTTTGCATTCAAGTTATACGATTCTGAAGCTGATTCTTGATTTTTTTGTGATCGAATTAATTTTCACAAAGTTTGAGACAACAGTTTGAGACCTAATCTTTAGCACCAGTAATATACCTGTCATGAGCAGATTTTTTTTGCTTCAGACATTTCTTGCCTGTCAGTAGTTTGAGGGTCATTAAGAGGTCTATTAACCATTTCTCGAGGAACTGAAATTGGATTTTGCTTGTTAGGAAGGCTTAATGTCTGGAGTTGTTCTCTCATACCTCGCAGGGTATCATTGAACCATTTTACCTTTGGCTTGTTAATAGTTTTGTTGATTATTTTGGAGTTGACTGGCAAGCACTTGTCCAAAGTTTAGTTTCAGTATGATCCTGAGTATTTACAACTACTTGCCAGGCATTATCCATTAGCTCTATACAGATTTGATAGACCCTGATCGGCAATTGGTCTAATTATTCTTGTACTGTGAGTTTTTTTCTTCTCTCTGCTAAAGTCAACAAAAATTTTGTCACGGCATGCCTCTGCTCGAGTAGTAAAATGCACGCTTTTGTGAAGATCAGATGAGCTAAAAAAGAAATTCAGATATTTGACCTCTTTGTTATTTGGAGCCTCAAAATGGACATCAAAGCGAGCATTAAACTCATTGGTAATGATTGTATGAGCGGAAAGGTTAATTGAGAAAGTGTTTTGAAGTAAATATCAATATCTTCATCAGGTGATCTGTATATTGTAAGTATCTGCATATTAAGTGGTTTAATATAGATTCCTGATACCTCGCAGTGCACTTCAATTGAGTATTTTGAAGTTTGAAGATCTTCACAGGGTAGATTCTCTTTAATGTAAATACCAACCCCCTCGCTTTTTTGTGACCTAGAAAAGTCTGACACCTCATCAAACCCCTTTATTTTGATTTGAGAAAACTCATTGGAATGCAGCGAGCGTTGAATGTTCAGGAAATGGTTTATATTGATTGTCACTCCATCTGGCCAGAGGCTTTGGATCAACAAAAGCACCTTTCAGATTCTTAGGCTTAGGGACCCCAACTTTTAAAAAACTAATTTGTTATCGCATGGTATATGCATCTTTTCACAGACAATGATTCCTCTGCGAAACTTTGTTGTTTCAAGGTAGCTGAGAACATCTTCTAAAACAGGTTTTTTTTTGCCAGTCGTGTAACAAATAGCCAATGATATAAGTATCTGGGCTATTCCGAGGTTGCTGTTATTTTTGTTGGACCCTTTAATAGATGGGGGTTTTTGAGGCGGCAATCGCCTCATGGATGCTGCATTTACCTGGGCTCTCCATTGTTCATTGAGTTCAGACCTTAGACGTTCAGACGCATTCATCCTGTTTTATACGAGACTCCGGTCGGTAATTTTTCTGTAATGTGTAAACGAGTGTATAACTGATAAATCAATACTTGTTAAATGGATGTGAAATTATATAAGTACCGTGCATTCAATTTATCTTGATAACATTTTAATCCGCTGTAACTTTTTTGTTTTTGAAGGTATCAAGGTAAACAAAAAAACAAAATGTAGGGTTGGTAGCCAAGTTTTTTTTCAAGGTACCTATAAAACAAAACACTATCAATTTTATGACATATGAGCCTACATTATATTTTTTCAAATGGAACACCCTGTATATTATATATGCGTTTGATAGAATATCTTATTTCGATTACAATGATATAACACACTTTATATTTTAGTCCACTCGTTTTTGACAAATCGGCAAAAATATGAAATTTTTATATGCACTATCAATGATTCTCCGCCCAAATATCAGATCGCCGCCTAATAAGTTTCACTTCAAAAGTTTCATATATTTTTGCCGATTTGTCAAAAACGAGTGGACTAAAATATGGAGTGTATTATATCATCGTAATCGGAATAAGATATTCTATCAAACACATATATAATATACAGGGTGTTCCATTTAAAAAAATATAATGTTGGCTCATATGTCAAAAAATTGATAGTGTTTTGTTTTATAGGTAACTTGAAAAAAAACTTGGCTACTAACCCTACATTTTGTTTTTTTGTTTACCTTGATACTTTCAAAAACAAAAAAGTTACAGCGAATTAAAATGTTATCAAGATAAATTGAACGCACGGTACATTATGATATTATAAACCATTTTCAGAAACCATACCTAATTTCCTTAACTTGTGTATACAGGGTGTCCCACGGTGGATGGCGTATTAGACGTTTATGGAGAACTAAAAAGCGGATCATTTTGAAAATTTGGCAACCGGGATAAACGACCATGATCTACACTTTAAAAATATTTTTGTTTATGTGGTGTTGCCGCTTCTACTCTAAACCAGTGGCAACATCGCTATTTTAAATGGAACACCCTGTAAGTGATTTCACATTTGGATTCTTCGTAAAATTCTGAGCAGATTTCATGTGATATACCCTATACCTAAGTTCAACTGTTTTGGAAATATTGACAGTTGAAAATTGACTTTTTGCAACTTTGACAGGCTGTAAAACCTGAACGGTTAATTTTAGAGAAAAACCGATTTCACATTCCTGTCTTAGATTTTTATGAACAATCATTTGATACCCACTTCGAATTTAATCCATGATTAAAAATTCCAATTAAATTTAATCTCCGGGTAAATTCAAAGTTGGTGTCAAATGATAGTTTATGAAAATCTAAGATAGGAATGTAAAATCGGTTTTTCTCTAAAATTAATCGTTCAGGTTTTACAGCCTGTCAAAGTTGCAAAAAGTCAATTTTCAACTGTCAGTTTTTCCAAAACAGTTGAACTTAGGTATAGGGTATATCGCATGAAATCTGCTCAGAATTTTACGTAGAATCCAAATATGCAATCACATACAGGGTGTTTCATTTAAAATAGCGATGTTGCCACTGGTTTAGAGTAGAAGCGGCAACATCGCATAAACAAAAATATTTTTAAAGTGTAGATCATGGTCGTTTATCCCAGTTGCCAAATTTTCAAAATGATCCGCTTTTTAGTTCTCCATAAACGTCTTATACGCCATCCACTGTATACTTATGTATTTTCTTCAAAATTGTAGGTAACTTTAGACGACAACAATATGTTTATCATTTATTAACCATTATCATCAAATATCCATTTTTTCATGGTTTAGTCTGGTTTCTTATTTCTGGTCTTGTAACTCTATCAAAAGTTTTCTTAGACTGTTATTGATACCTTTTGAATTCTGTTCATCAATAATTGATATATTCTTCTTCTTCTTTTGAGTTTAACACTGCGTTAGTGCGACAGCACTCTTACGCAATTTTGGGTGAGTCTACTTACTGCCATGTGTTGTGTTTTCAGTTAATTTTTGTTCAGGGAAAGGGAGGGGAGTGGGGAATTTATATTGTGTCAATTGATGGGAGCATATGCTCCCCAGTTACATAAAAAATTTCTTCCATATGGTCCTCAAAAAAAATTCTGTGAATATAGATTTCGTTTTTATCTGTCAGATTACATTACCTGACAGTTTATCAGAAGGGGAATAAACCGGGCCTTAACACAATATAGTTATTTTCATAACAAGTGCGCAAAGTGTTACTTTGCGCACGTGTTAGGAACAACATTTTTCCTACGAGCTTCATATCAGGTAGGTAACAAGAAAAATTTAAAAAAAAAACGATAATTTGTTCAATTATTTTTAATTAACTTGAAGCGAACCTATACATTTATCAAAAAATTACCTAACAAAAAAAAATAGCAGAAAATCCTCGTCAGAGCTGTTCATCTCAAAGCGTTTAAATTTGATGATAAAGTTTGTAGATTCTTGCATATAAATAGAGAACAAATCTGACAATGTGTCAAGGTTAATTTATATTTGGTGTTTGTATTGATGTTGGCTGATATAGAAACAGAGAAAAAATTTGTCATCATGTGTCAAAGTCGACAGGTGCACTTATTGTTGCTTGACAATTATTTTTACTTTTCGGCACTCAGTGCGGATAAGGCCTGTATCCGCACTGAGTGCGGAAAAGTGTAACTTTGAGCCCGAAAATGCATGCGGAAAAGTACTACTTTGCGCACGCTCGTAGGAAATAGTTATTTTCCTAACAAGTGCGCAAAGTGTTACTTTTCCGCACGCAAACACAGTTATACGAACGACGCGAAGCGGAGTTCGGATACGTGTTTGCGTGCGGAAAAGACACTTTGCGCACGTGTTAGGAACAAAATTTTTCCTACGAGCTTCATATCAGGTAGGTAATAACAAAAATTAAAAAAAAAAAACGATAATTTGTTTAATTATTTTTAATTAACTTGAAGGGAACCTATGCATTTATCAAAAAATTACATAACAAAAAAAAAATAACAGAAAATCCTCATCAGACCTGCTCATCTTAAAGCTTTTAAATTTGATGAGAAAGTTTGTAGATTTTTGCATATAAATAGAGAACAAATCTGACAATGTGTCAAAGTTAATTTATATTTGGTGTTTGTATAGATGTTGGCTGATATAGAAACAGAGGAAAAATTTGTCATCATGTGTCAAAGTCGACAGGTGCACCTATTGTTGCTTGACAATTATAATTACTTTTCGGCACTCAGTGCGGATAAGGCCTGTATCCGCACTGAGTGCGGAAAAGTGTAACTTTGAGCCCGAAAATGCGTGCGGAAAAGTACTACTTTGCGCACGCTCGTAGGAAAACATTTTTCTTTCTCGATAAGCAGACAGAAACCGGCGAAACGTTAGGCTGAAGTCATTGGTTGGTGGCAATGAAATATTCGGAAAATAGAACAAGTTCTTTTTTGTGTATTTATACATGCATTAATTATCGAGTTAATTATTATTGAAGGTCAAATACACAGCCAATATTTTATTGAGTTTTTATAAATACACATCATACATCAACTATTATTTGACTACTTATAGATAAATATTATCATCATGGATGCTAAAGTTCAAAATATGGAAATCTACTTGAAAACAAATGAAGAAATGCCAAAAAAGGGCACTAGTGATGCACAAATGACTTCGAGTACCATTTCTACGGTATCCAGCTTGGCATCGCCTGTTGACTCAGGCGTTCAAATGCTGGATAGCGAAAGTGAGCTCACATCTGTTATGTCTAACGTATCGGGTAATTTTGTCTGCAAAATAATCGACTTCCTTATGTTATCTCTAAATGTTTAGGTTGTGAGAATGATACTTTGTCTACTTTGGATACTAACTTATCAATAAAAACTCTGGAAATGAAGGACACTGAGCCACATTCTGTAAAAATTTCTAAAGTGCAGCCACAAGAAGAAACTGATATTTGGGCTGAGTTACGAGAATCATGTTTTGATGAACAGGGTGCTGGAATTATTGAATTAGTTGCTGGAAATAAAGAAGCGCCTGAGAAAGTAGCTGCAAATAGTGAACTGGCTGCTAACAATAAAAATTTCATTGGCGATGATGCCAAACTAGAAAGAATCATGCATCAATTTACAGAAAGCGACTTTGTGAATAAGAACGTGGTGGATGAGAAAGTCTTATCACATTCTGTCTCAAATTATTTTGACAGGTTTTCTGATAAAGGTTTGTTAATTATATTTGTTTTTTACAATGGGCTAAAATTTAATTTCTAGCTAATCTTACACATCCAGTTCATTCAGAATCCTGCAAAAACCTCAGTGATGAAGTATTTGAAATGGAGCATCCAATCAAGTCTAATACAGAAGTTGATTTAATGAATATTTCCTTGAATAGCTATGAGCTGTTGGACTATACTTTGCAAAACACAATTCTCAAAGATCCAGGTGAACCGGAAACTACTGATATGCATGTTAGTATGTCTGAGGAGGTTAATGAAAATTTGAAAGTGATTTTAGGTAAGAATTCATGTATTCATTTACTTATTTAGAAAATAGATAAAAATTCCCCATTTTTACGGTGTGTATCTTATACCTATAGAAAGCAAAATACAAATCACATGTAATACAGTCAATAGTTTAGGACTGCAAGTTTTCAACCCTAAATTTTCTATAAATTGGTAAAGCACTTCGAGTTATACTTGAATAAACTGATGAGGTGACTACTCTTGTCAGTATTACCTACTCAAGATATTGTTCTTCTGTGACCAAGCTCTTCAAGCATTTATATCTCTTTGGAAATACACTATACATATTACATATTCGTCTAACACCCAATTAACCTATGTATTGTATTGTTTCCAAAATATTTAAATTAACCAAAAAATCGTTACACTCGAGGTTACACTTGTGGAATTAATAACTTGAAACCTATCTAAGATAAACTTGTTAATCTTCTCCCTCTTAGTGCGACAAGAGGCTTTCAACATTGAAGAAATCATTGTTGTGTTAATAGATTCTCAAAAATAATGTCAGTGAGACGCTTTGAACAATCTTGACCATCCCGATTTTTGCCCTTAAGCTTCCTGTCTACTTTTAATATAGCTTCAATAGAAATTGTAATCTGAGAAATTATACCATTTTTTTACTTGAAAATTGGAATTTATAGATGGTAAAGAAGCTCCTCCACCAATAACCGAAGAAATCGCGGTTTTGGAAAGCCCAGAATCCAAACCAGTAGAGGAGCAAATAGTTTTTCGCAGGCAAAGAAAGAAAAAATCCAAATCTGATACCCCAAAAAAACGAGTTTCGTTTCACGAAGATATTTTAAACAGTACTAAAATCGACGATATCCATATTAATTTGGGCTTCATTACTCACGAGCCTGATGTATCGTTGAGTTTTTTTCAGAGGGGCTTTATTAGGAAACCTGATGTAGTGAAGGGAAGGTAAATATTATTAATTTTTCCATTTTGAATATTTCTCAATATATTTTTTTTAAATTAGATATAGTTGGGCAGCTGAAGGTGATGCACCATTTTACGAAAAACCAGCATCAACTAACCGAGATATAAAATCAGACATTTATGTGCATCACCCACGTGGTTCTTCAAGTTCGTCAAGCTCCACAGGAAGTGTTTCTAGCTCAATAGATGAAGAGGATAGTTCAGATGAAAATCTACAGAAAAAGGAACCTGGAATACAAAAGCAACCAAAATCTAGTTGTTTAAAGAAAACTAAACATAAGAAAATTGATACGAATATTGTTCAAGAGGAAATTAATCTTAGAAAAAAGAAATCTGAGACTACTTTGTTGGACACTAATATTTTCGGGAGTTTAAAGAATATTTTGAATTTTTCTACTTCGGTGCCTCTTGCAGAAAGAGGTGTTCCAGAAGGTCAAGAAGACGTAGCAATTTACTCATCCTCCCAGGATCTTTCCAGCAGAAGAAAATCTTTTGGAAATTTTTCGTTTAAAAATATTGAAACTGCTGAAGTAACTGAAGTAAAACCTGAACCTGTCAGCCAAGTAAAAAATCCGCATATGTTAATATAAATGTTTTCAAACATGTGTTTTTAGGTACACCTAGCAAAAACCAACCTTAAATTAACCAAAAGCGAAGGTTTTTATCCCAACTATCCGAACCAAGATATACCATCCAATATAATTCTTTGTGACAGTAACGTTTATGAACACAAAGGCATCAGCTATTCATATGAATATGATAATTTTCAAAAAAGTTTTGCCAAGCAAAATACACCCAAAAGTTCCACTGTGTATCGCAACATATTGAAGGAATTCAATTTTTTCCGTAGGTAAGCATTTAGAGTTTTTTTATGCAAAATTCATATATGTATCAACAAATCATAAATTTTAGGAAGGCCAAAGAGGAACCTGAACGAGAAGTTGAAGAAGACTTTGAAATAATCACTGATCCAACAAAAACCGAATTGAAAGTGGAAGAAGTGGTTGAACTCGAGGGTCCATTAAAGCCTGAGCCAAAAAGCACAAGCACGCCAAAAAGTAATTTGTCTAAATATGCTTCTTCAACGCGTTTGGATTGGTCTGACACGGAAACAGTTTCTGATTTATCAGAAGCAAGAAATTCCTGTCATTTGGATTCTCCTAAAAGAAAACTTAGAAGGAGCAACCATTATACAGTTCACTCTCCTTTTAAGGTAGGATTTTAATGAGTAGGATCTTGCTGGAATTTAGTATATTTTGTTTATAGATCCCTTTATCAGAAAATCTTCAAGATTGTATCGAATTAGAATCAAAATCGGTACCCACAACAATGAGGGCTTCTTCCTCAAAATCTTCCCTTATAAATCGTTTTCTAAGGAATGTAACCTTAAAGAAAATGTTGGACCTGAAGGCTCAAGCAAATACCAAAACTATTAGAAACTACATTGGGCTCTACCCTAAAGGCTACAAGAACGTGAAACCTGATTGTAATCTGGAGGTTGACGCTGCTATTGAAAAAGAAGTGATTATGGGTAATAATAAGCGCTTGCCATTCAAATCTGGTGATAAAATCTTGATTGGTAATCTGAGAAAGCAGATTTTTAGAAATTTGAGTGAGCAGTTTTTGAAGGTAAAACTACATTAACAATTTTAAGTGAAACGAATGTTTAAAGCTTCTTTTCCTAGGTCTTTCCAGTTCGTAGCGCTTACTCAACAAACGGAGACACGAAACCTTTACTATTAATATTAACCAATCGCGCTCTCTATGTAGTCAGCTCAAAAAACAACTTGTTCAGCAGCCATTTCGTTTTACCTTACACCGACTTGAACGCCATTTTGATCGGACCCAGCGCTCAAACCCTACATTTCTCCAATCGCGATATAGATATGCAATGCATTTTGACTACGGGTTGTTCAAAGATCACTGCTGATTTGATTGGTCAGCTAGAGATTGCGATGCGCAGGGACGTTAACAGGCCTTTGTTGCCGGCCGTGAAGCAGTTGACCATGAGGGATATGGTGAATTTGAGGAAGTCGATTTGTAAACAGACTGCTGTTGATAAGGTAATTAACTATTTCGAAGTCTCTATCATTATCATCTGGAACTAGGATAAGGTCAAAATGGTCATAGCAAGATTTGGTATGCGTGTAAATGAACATATGAAATCTCGCCCATAGAGTAGAAATTGTTTTGCATATTCATCATCAAAAACTTCAGTTTTTGATCGAAACACAGAACGAACGGTTCAGCCGTTCAGCGTATTTTTGATTTAAATTTTAAAAATTTAAAATTCGAAAGAAAGTGAAACTTGTGATACCAATGATGTACAATAGGCATCAGTGTATGGAACACAAAAATTGGAATATAATGTTAATTTCATTAATATTGACCTTGTTTTGAAGCCTGAAGAAGAAAATAAATTTTTCGAAACATAGCTTAAAAAACAAAACCACTTGGTTTCATCGGTCCTGATATACCCAAGAATAGCAGAATAATATCTTCCTTATTGGACAAGAACTATATAAAAGAATTAATACTTATTGGTCCTTTTGCATCCTGTATTATTTCCTAATACAGGGTCCTTGTTTTGTGATCTCTTATACGGCAGTTAAAGAGAATGTGACTTAAATTTCCTTTGCTTCCACATTTGCAATTTGGGTTATCCTTTATCTTAATTTTGTATAAGTGTTCTGTGTTCTGAGGTTAGACAATGATTAGTTCTCATTCTACATGTCATTGTTATACTTTTTCTCGATTTATATTTCATTTTATGGAACCACGGTACTTTCTGGGGTATAGGTTGGATGTAAGAATAATATGCACTACCCCTCTGGGACCACTCTTGATATAATTCAGTCCACGTTCGCCACAAATGGTCTTTGATTAGTAGAAGGAGTCGAGTACCTTGTATGGTGTTTTGTTGACTTATATTTTGTTGACTTATATTTTGTAAACTTCTTCCCTTTAACGCCAGTCTATCGGCAATCTCATTTTCTTCTATGCTTGTATGTGATGGTATCCACATTTGTTTAATATGGCCATTAGCGGTCAAAAGTTCTTGTCTTGTACTCATGGTAATATAGTCACTTTTTCTGCATATTCCCATCCTTGCAATAGGCTGAAGTGCACTCAGTGAGTCCGATACTATAAAAAAAGGGAAATTAATAAAATAATGTACCATCGTCACCAAAAGTATCTGGGACACAAATAATGCATAATAATCTCCTGGACTAATTCTACTGTCATTCATTTCAATGCATTTAAATCATAGGTTGACAAATATTTGACAATAAAATTCATATAATAGGACAAGAGCTAATGTGATGCTGTCCCAGTTACTTTTGGTGACGATGGTACGTGGGGGATCAAAATTAATAATGTTAGCATGTCGCAATGTTGCCGCATCAACTTCGTTTTACTTTGACATACCATAAAGTTTGTCTTGTCATTTTCCCATGTTACATTTTTATTAATAAATTGATTTAAGAATAATTATAATACCAAAACATTGAATTCCATTAATACAATTTCATAGCAAATTAAATTATATCTCAACTATCAATCCCCGACTCGTTAGAAACTGACAACAAACCTCCAAATATTAAAATCAATAAACAAAGATTTGCAGAAGGCAACTATTATTGGCAACATTACCCGCGAGTGCCAACCTAAATCCCATACTATCGGCAGATTCGGTTATATGATCCGACAGCATTCTATCTCTTTTTAACTAGGGTTAAAAAAGAAAAAATGTGCTCTGATTTTAAAACGAATTTTAAGTTCTTATAAACTGCAATTGGCAATAATTTCGACGTCATTGATGACCTGCAACCATTATTTTAATAATTTCACTATATAGCCAAACCCTTGGTATAGTCTGGCAAGTGGTAAGTTGATAGAGACGAAAGGGGGAAGAAAAGTGGGGCGTTACTTAAGAATATTTACTGACACCTCAACTGACACCGCTTAATGACAGCCATGTCTTTGGGTTCAGTGACACCGAAAACACCAAGGAAATGAACCAATAAAATTATTAGAATTTTTTTTTGTAAGTTTCGCCAATAACCACGTCACTGTGCTATCGTTCAGGCTTTAACCTTAGCCTTTAACCAATGGCATCATGCCTCTGAATAATCCCGCCTCTCCACATTCATCATTTCGAAATATTGAATTTTTTTCTATTTCAAAATACTACACTTGCCCGTATAGCAACAAAAAATATGTCGCCAACTTTTTTATTACTGTTTCCGTCAGGTTTGGCAAAGCAGCAAATTCTATTGCAGTTCGCCGTTTGGCTAGCCAGACAATATGTACTTCTATGTTTCGTACTGCTTCCCGAATAGCTAGCGTTTCTGCTGTGCAAATTGATGTCTTGTGCCTTAGTCTTCTATAAAGTCTGTTTTTTTTTAAGATAAAAGTCAAAATGACATTATGTTGGCAATACAATGTAAAATTGTCAATGCTTCCAAATTTTCTATGTAGAAAAGGTTTGTGTTACCAACATAGTTAACTAAACTTTTGACTTGGGGAATTATCTTTAAAAAAAAAAACACATTTTAGATGTTTGTGTTATTTTCTTTACAATACAGGGTGTCCCACCGGGGACCAAATCAATCTAAAGTATGTTTTTTTTTTTAAAAAAGATAAAAGTCAAAATGACATTATGTTGCTAATAAAATATAAAATTGCCAATGTTTTCAATTTTTTTATGTAGAAAAGGCTTGTGTTGCTAACATAGTTACTAAATTTTTGACTTGGTGAATTATCTTAAAAAAAAAAAAACAGTATTTTTGCATATGTATATACAGTGTGTCCCACGACGTTTCTCCCAGGTGATAACTTCGGAACGTGTCATCCAATATAATTAAAATTTTGAGGATCTGGGTAACTTTCTGTGCCGCTTCTACAATTGCCATCCAATTTTACCATTTTTGCTTCAATTTCGGTCAAGTGACGTCAACTTTCGAATCTTAAGTGTAACTCATCGTATATTATGGTATTTTCCGTTAGAAAATTAAATTACAAAATCAGCTATGCCATATTTGTTAAGGCTTTGTTAAAGGATATGACAGAAAATTATACAGTGGAACATACGATGATGCGTTCCGAAATGATCATTTGGGAGGAACCTCGTGGGACACCCTGTAAGTATATGAAAAACTGTATACAGAAATATTTTAAAAATTTGACAGTATACTAATGTCACAGATTAACTAATGTCAATGGGGCAGCACGGCTAAAATATTTTCAAGATGGTGGCTCTTCCGGTTATACCGGAAGTATAGTCTGTTTTTTCTTTAAAGATAAAAGTCGAAATGACATTATGTTGTCAATACAATGTAAAATTGTCAATGCTTTCAAATTTTTTTATGTAGAAAACCGTGTAAGTATACCTTCTTGTTGTAATTTCGTCTCTATCAAGCTCATCCACTTTTGCTTATTTAGTTTTTGTCTAGTCATCTTTTCATTAATACCTATGTGGTGCGACTCTACGAAGTAGGCAGGCACACGCATGCTTGAAGCACGAAATTAGCAACACTTGTATTTTCGGAGATATTTCCAACATATTTACTAAATTTTTGACTTGGGGAATTATCTTTAAAAAAAAAACAGACTTTACACGTCAACTTCCTTATTTTAAATGAAATTAGGAAACCGGGATAAACAACCATAATCTACACTTTAAAAATATTTTTGTTTATGCGGTGTTGCCGCTTCTACTCTCAACCAGTGGCAACATCGCTATTTTAAATGAAACTCCCTGTATGTGATTGCATTTTTGGATTCTATGTAAAATTCTGAGTAGATTTTATTTGATATACCCTATATCTAACTTCAACTGTTTTGGAAATATTGACAGTTGAAAATTGACCTTTTGCAACTTTGACAGGCTGTAAAACCTAAACGGTTAATTTTAGAGGAAAACCTATTTTACATTTCTATCTTAGATTTGTATAAACTATCATTTGACACTAACTTTGAATTTATTCCATGAATAAAAAGTCCAATTAAATTTAATCTCCGGTTAAATTCAAAGTTGGTGGCAATTGATCGTTTATGAAAATCTAATGATAGAAATCAGTTTTTCTCTAAAATTAAGCGTTTAGGTTTTACAGCCCATCAAAGTTGCGTAGAATCCAAATATGCAATCATGTGTCTCATTTAAAATAAGAAAGTTGACGTCTACTTCCGGTATAACCCGAAGAGACACTATCTTGAAAATATTTTAGCCGGGTTGCCCCCATTGACATTAGTATACTGTCAAATTTTCAAAAATTTCCTGCATACAGTTTTTATATATAGATCGATTTGGCTCCCGGTGGGACACCCTGTATATTCCTATACCACATGCCAAATTTTTGGGATCCACTGAAGCATCCGAAAATTTTATATTGAGGCCATCTAGTCCAGTTGCAGCATTGTGATTGAATTCAAATCCGTCCATTATTGCTGGTGTTGGTTTTCTTCGCCAATAAGGAGGATCTTTATTATAAATTTGATAGAAGTTGAGTAATTGTCGTCTTATTTTATCATTTGTTACGTAACTGTAAGTTAACACTAACTGGTAGTTTATTTTTAATATCGTATCCGCCATCAGTTTTTGTTATGTAGTTAGGAAAGTCCCAGTTATTATTATTATTATTAATATTGCCTTCGGCGTCGTGTCCCAAACTTCCCTTTTCACAAAATAAAATGTCACTTTTAGCACTTATATCATAAATAACTATTATTTGCGCTTTATTTATACTGTTATTTATCTGTGTTGTCCATCTGAGTTGGCTGTCAAATATTATACCTAAATATTTATAATCCGGGACCCACTCTATTTCTTCATTATCAATCTTGATTGTAGTTTGTGAGTTTCTTGTTGGCCCTTTGGAAAATATCATTGCTTTTGTCTTGTTGATTGAAATTTCAAGTCCGTAATGGTTAAGCCCTTTCTGTATTTTTCGAATACCCTCTGCTATGTTGGATGTTTGTATAAATAGGGTTAAATCATCAGCATATTTCAATAGTTATATATCCTCATCTTTTGGAAGTAGAACATTTATTGAACACATTA